GCAAATTCTGCCTCGGGGTCGCACAGCTTGCCATAGCTGCAGTCCAGCAGGATCTCCTGCCAGGCCTCGCCGGTCGCGCACCTGGGGGGGGATGCGGGCTGGTCCCTGCCTGTCCCAGACATGAGCTGGGCACGCAGGGAGGGAGCAGGAAGCCACTGGGAAAGGAGTGGTCAGGATCCTGGGCTGCTTGTGCTGCTGTGGGGACTCCACTATTGAAAGCTCCAAAGTGAAGTGTTTGGAGTCAAGGAAAGCCTTGGGCTGAGTTCTTGCTTCCCCTTGAGTTTCCTCACAATTCACAAATTACCCTGCCTGTCCCAGACATGAGCTGGGCACGCAGGGAGGGAGCAGGAAGCCACTGGGAAAGGAGTGGTCAGGATCCTGGGCTGCTTGTGCTGCTGTGGGGACTCCACTATTGAAAGCTCCAAAGTGAAGTGTTTGGAGTCAAGGAAAGCCTTGGGCTGAGTTCTTGCTTCCCCTTGAGTTTCCTCACAATTCACAAATTAAATCCAGTCTGGGAAGAAAATATTCAGAATAGAAACCCCAAAGTGCCCCACTCTCCTGCAGTTCAGCCACACCAGGCAAACCGACAGCCACTCCTGAAACACTTCCACTGCTGCAAGAGATTTTTCTGTAGGGCAAAAAAGAAATCCACTACAGAAGTGGTGGTCTCCCTCACTGCAAGCTGGTGGGCTCCCGTGCCAACTCTAAGCCCAGCTCCCTTTTGGAGCTGCTCACTTGCCAAGACAAGACTGACCTGAAGAGCAGCAGCACAGCTTGTGGAAAGGTTTGGAAGTTGTTGTTTCGATTGATCTGGGTCCCGTCCACCATGGCGATCTTCCCGAACATCTGTAAAACACATTGTCAGGTCCCCAAACCCTTTCTTGGGCACTGCCCACCCTCCAGAGCACCCCTGTCCCTAAGCTCCTCTTTCTCTTGTTTAATTGGCTTTGGGTGTCCCCAAAAGAGACTGAGTCTGGGGTGTGAGTGCTCTGGGGCTCATGAGCTCCTTGGACACTCCTGCCCATGCTGAAAATGCCCCGTCTATGCCACACTTCATCTGGGACAAGAAGGCAAGGTCTTATGAACCAGGCACAAGAACTGGTGACTGTGTGCCTAGGTTGTGCCATTGACTCCAAAAGTGCTGTTTGCTGCATGCCTCAGTTTCCCTAGCTGCAGCCTGGGCATGGGAGGAGGCTGCTGGGGCTGTAAGCACCCCTGGAGACCAGGGTAAATGGTGCATCATGTGCAAAGCCCTAAGAATGCCTGGCAGAGGATCTAGTCCCACTCCGTCCCATCTCTCCAGATGCTGTCAGGCTCAGGGCATCTGTTCAAGACCAAATCCCACCCCTGTGCCTCTCACCTGCATCCCGATCACAGCATAGATGAAAAACAGCATCACAATCAACAGGGCCACGTACGGCAGAGCCTGCGACAGAAGGACCACGGCTCGTGTGAGATGTCAGCCCAGCATCGAGGCAACCCAGGGACAGGAGGTTGGGTCTGGAGGTACTGGGCGAGGCCAGCATCCAGGCCTCCGTGTGGGAGGGGACAGCTTACCTCCTGCCTGTTCCTCTAACCACCCTCCCACCGGCCCCACTCTCCAGTTCTCATGCACGGGAGGCTTATGCCAAACTCCCATGGGAGCCCCGGGTCTCTGCAGCTGGGACGAAGGCTGAGCACAGCCCAGGGATGCCCAGGGCTGAGGGCGCTGCCGGGGCTTGGGGGCCATGTGCCGAGGTGCTGCAGCGTGCCCTTGGGCTACCAGCTCGCTGCGGAGCCCAGCCTCGCTGGGACTGGGGCTGACGGGCCGGCCAGGCCCTGCCTGCTGGCTCAGCCCAGCAGTGTCTCGGGTTCTGACACAGGGTGGTGTGAGCCAGGGAGACCCCCACACCTTCCCACCCCTACAGGCAATGTTCTCCTGCCCAGCACAAGCCCCTGGCCCAATCTGAGGCCAGCAGCCTGCCAGCACCGGAGCCTTCTGCCTCTGCTGGGTGAGGACAGATCGCTCGCCCAGCAAGCCTGAGATCAGAGCCTGCTGCCACCCTGGGGCACGGGCTTGTCTGGGAGGGGAGCACTGTTCCTCCCATACCTGGAAGGACTTGATGAAGGTCCACAGGAGGGTCCTGACACCTTCCCCCCGGCTCAGCAGCTTCACCAGTCGCATCACCCGGAACAGTCGGAAGAAAGTGATGGAGACGCGGGAGTTGTCATCAGAGACCTGCAGGCAGAGCACAACACTTGGAGGGCAGCTTGGAGGTGCTGATGCCTCCAGGCAGACAAGGAGGGGTCCAGGTCCTGGGGGAGGGAGGGTAACAAGATTCCCTGCCCAGGCACCAGTCATGGTCCCCATGGCCGTTGCCTGCACAGAGGCTCCCAGACTGTGAAGGGGATGTGCTGGCACTTTCCCTCCAGCCTTCCCAATGAGCTGATCTCCCCAGCCCCGTTCCCCTCTGCCACCCCACCCTGGGCTGCGTGGGGATGCCTGGTTATGGGGCTGGCAGCAGTCCCGTTAGCTACAGGGATGGGACACTGCAGGGAGAAAGGCATGCTGCAACGCAGGCTGGGAGAGCTGTGCTGTTCACCGCAGGCCAGACAGGGCCACCCAAGGACAGGCTCGGGTCCCTCCAGGCTCTCACCAGCATGTGGGACGCTCCCGCCTCGGGGCCTGTTTGTAAGGGGAGCTGCAGGCCAGGCACCAGGCACATGAAGGGTTAATGATGGCTGTTTAAGCACAGAAAGGTTGCTTTGAGAATGTCCCAGCAGGGCTTTAATGGACCAAAGGAGGCACTGAGGGCAGGGTGGCTCTCGGGGTGCTGCCCAGTGCCACCCCTACCTGCAGCGATGCCTGCTCTCTTGGGGTGGCTGCGGGCCCCTTGGAGCAGCCACGTCCCAGGGCTGGGGACGCCTGGGTTCAGGGGGGAACGGGCAGGCAGGAGGGGAGCCAACAGGCACAGCTCCTGGGTTCAAAGGACCAGGTTTCACCTGGGAGCACCTGGAGATGCTGGGGGCTCGGTCGCCTGCTCCTCCAGTTGCTCCAGCACGGGCACAGCCTCAGCCCCAGCCCCCGCCACCAGCAGCCCTGAGCAAACCCTCCTGGCCTCTGCCAGGCACTGTCCGTCCCGGCTCCATTACCACTCATGGTAGCATGGGATGCCTTTCCCACTGCCCCCTTGGCCTCCCAGAGCTTTTCTGCTGCCCCTGGATCCCCCTCACTCCCATCACTGAGCCCACCAGCTCCCAGCTATTTCAGGGTGACAAAACCCAGCAGTAAATGCCCCTCCCAGCAGCTCCAGCTTCCCCAGGCTGGAATTTCTGAGTTCCCAGGGCTGCACTGGAAAACACCATCTCCTCTCCCCACCCCTCTTCCTTTTGCCTTTAGCTCTCCTAGTGCCTAGCGCCTGCCCAGCCAGCACAGTGGTCAGGAACATCTCACCAGCCCCTGAGAACCACGTCCCCACTGCCAGGACACAGACAGTGCCCAGCAAAGGCCAGCTTGCCCTCCGCAGTTCCCAGCACCAGGGCCCTGGGACCCCTGGGAAGAGGCTCCAGTGCATGGGACCCTGCAGCCAGCCTCTCCCCATTTTCAGAGCTCCTATGGGGGCTCCTATGGGTCAAACCAGGGCACCCCCACCCCACTGCACCCCCACGATGCTCTCAGCCCCCAGCACATCAGGCCAGGAGCCACGGGACACAGCCAGCTCCTGGGGGCAGGCACGGGGCGAGGGTCGCCCCTCTAGCCATTTCTCCAGCAGTGGCAGAGGCTGCATTGGCGCAGGCAAATCCCTCCAGGCCTCGCACAGGCAGGGTGATGCTCAGTGAAGCAAGGCCAAGCGCGCTGCCCTCAGCAGCCAGGGAGCCTCTGCGCGACGCTCCCTTCAGGTCAGATCACAGGGCTGGGGGCGCGGGCGGTGGAGGGCAGGGACCCAGGCGGTGGGGAACAGCCCGGCACATCTCAGGGTGGGAAGGGGTGTCGGGTGCCTCACCCCAAGTCCCTCTCAGCAAGGGGAGAGCTACCCCCCAGAGAGATGGTGTGTGGGAATAGCATGCAGGAGACATGCGAACACGGGCCCCAGGCTGGCTAGCATGGCCACGGGCAGCGAAGCGGAGGGGTGCACCGCAAGCACATGCAGCTGATATTTACAGTGCTATCACAGCCTCCGCCGAGGCAGTACAATCCACCACTGGATGCAAGAACAGTCTGTCGAGAGAACAAGAGAGTCAGCAGGAGGAGGGAGGCAGGAACAGGAGGGAGGGAGGGAGGGAGGGGTGGCTGCAGAAGAAGACACAGACACGGAAGGAAGAGTAAGATGGAAACTGGGACAAGGGACGGTGGCTGAGAGGAGCACAGGGGAAGGGCAGGCAGAGACCCGCTGTCACTGGGGCTCAGGGACACGGCGATGTGACTTCTGAGGGGCAGGGGAACACGCTCATCATGAGGGACTTGCCTCTTTCCGTGCCCCACTGTGTCTCAGCTGCTGAGACATCTACGTCTGGGCAGGGGCGCATGGGCCAGGAAATCTGGGGCGCAGCTCAGGACCGTGTAATTCTGCTGCCTCCCATGGACACCCCCAGGCCAGGCCCAGGGCTATGGCGGGTGGGATCTGGGGGCAAGCTGGCCAGCTCAAGCCAGCCCAGGACTCCTCCGCAGCGAGCTGGGCTGCTCTCGGCACGGCTGCTTGGACACTGAGACAAAACCAGGGCAGGTTTGATGGGAGCGAGCCCCAAGACTGGTAGTCCCGTTAGTCCCATGTGTCGGTAGGAGGCAGACGGCTGCCCGGCACCCTTGGCCCACGAACCGAGAGGCAGGACCTGCTGCTCTGCGTGCACGTCGGCACATGCAGGGCACACGCACAGGAGCGCTCACACGTGCGCGCGCACACAAACCCTGGAAGCTCCCCAAAGCCGGCCGGAGACGCGCTCCTCTCTGCAAGGAGCCTGGGATACTCGGGGGCAGGGGGACTCACTGGGGTGGCCCAGCCCCCATGCCCCACATTCCTGGGGGCCCAGCCGGTGACAGCTTTGGGTGGGCTGGGAGGGTCAGCCCTTGCAAAGGGGCTGAGCTTCCAGGGCAGGCAGTGGCAGGGGTGACACACGGACCCTGCCAGCCCCTACACTTCAGAGCCTGGGGCAGCGCTGCCAGAGGGGCCCCCACCCCTACTTCCCTCTTGCCCCAGCCCCCTCAATAACCCCTGGGATCTGGGGGAACTCCATGACTGAACCGCCAGGAGGGTCTGGCTGCGGTGGCTGGCAGAGGGCTGCTGCCAGCACAGCCCTCCCCACCGCCTCACCCTGGCAGCCACACACAGAGACACGAGGGAGGAGAAAAGAGGGAGAATGGAAAGAGAGAGGAGGAGAGGACAGACTTTGCAAACCAGTCACATGCCCGGGTGCCACCAGGAATGGCTCGGCTGCTGCGAGGTGTCACCCGCCACCCCTGCACCACAGTGCAGGCTTGTTTTGTGAGGGCCACCCTCCCGAAAACACTGCAGCCCCCAAGGTCTGCCTGCACCGGCAAAGTGATCTATGGTTGGTGTAGTGGCTGCAAACAGCTCCTGGGGACCAGAGGTGACAGACCCATCTTGCACCTCCCACAGCAGGGAGGAGACTTGCCAGAAGGGGAAATTAGGTGGCTCCTCCACCTCCTAATCCTAATCCCCCACCCCTGCACATCACCAGATGGCTGGGAAAAGCTTGGCAATGCTTGGAGAGATGTGGGCTTGATGGAGAAGAAAGCACATGGAGGAAGGGTGGGGCAGCTGTGAGGGGCTCTGCTCTCAGGAGGGGACACGGGTCGTCACAGGAGCACGAGACCGGCCAGAACAGGGCTGCTTGTGATGAAGGTCCCTGAAGGGCTTGGAGGACCAAGAGGGAAGACCAGCGCCCTTAGTGCCCCAGCACTCAGACCTGCGGGAGAGGACCAGGGGAAGCTCAGGACTGTTCTTGAGATCCTGCCTGGCCTTCTGCACAGCCCTGCCTCCACCAACAGTGGTGTGGCATGTGGAGCACAGCGCCTGGGTCAGTCCCGGCCAGCCCAGCCAGGGCACCGGGCTCCTCCCAGTGCCTGTGACCTGCATCCCCGGGCATCCCCACAGACCCCTGGCCGAGCACAGCGGCACCTTGGCACCGGTGCCGACTGAAGATCTCTGCCTTTAGCCTTTAGCACCCTTTGAGCTTCATTTCTGAGTGACAACGGGATGGGGAAGGAGGTAGCGCACTAGGAAATGATACCCTACACACATGGGAAACCCTGTCACAGGTGGCTTGAGGGGCCAAGGATGGGGTCCTGGAGGACCTGGTGACAGACAAAAGCTACTGGCACTGGCATGAAATCTGGGCGCTCGTCAAGGCTGAAAAGCCCAGAGGCTCAGAGGATGGCAGTATTGATGTGCAGGGAGGAGCACGTTGGTGTCACAGGAGAGGAAGGTGGATGGTTTTGCTCATCCCAGCTCTGTGAGGCCTGGACCAGAGAAAAAGGTGACTGCCACCAAGGCCCCTGAACACCCCACATCCCCAGCACAGAGAGTGGCTGAAGGTCACCCTGTGCAGGGGTGGCAGCGGCAGCAGCTCTGCCAGACAGAGCCTGCAGTGCCCCAGAGCTGGCAAGCCCTGTTCCCGAGAGGAGAAGGCATGCGGAGCCACTAGAGAGGGTTAATCCAGAACCTACGTGATCCTGCAGCTGCTTCCAGAGTTACCATCAGATCTGCTAAATGCAGCGCATGACCTCCCGGTGCAGAGGGGCATTTTCAGTGCTAGGCACGGGGTGTGGATGTCCCAGTGCTACGAAAGGCAGCGGCATGCTGGCTTCCTAGCACTGCTCTGAAAATGCCCCCAGCAGAGCGCTTACCATATAGCCACTGCCTGCAGCCACCCAGCCAGGCAGTTCATATGGTGCAGAGCTTCTGAAACAGTGTATGGAGTGTACACATGCACACATACACAGTCAGCAGATCTGACATACGTAGGGATCACTGTCTACACACGCAAAGCAAACGCCTTGAAATCTGATGTGTCCAATCCCCCCCAGCATGGGACAGCAGTGTCCCCTGCAGGGAGCTGTGGGAACCCTTCTGCTTCCCACCCGCACTGCTCTGAGGCTGGAGGCGTGGGTGCCTGCCTGTCCCGGTGCGTGCAGGGGGGAGACAGGCAGGGTGAGTGGGGCAAGGGCTGGTGCACATCCTGCCGCTCATGGTCCAGTCCTGAGCAGACCGTTTTCCATAGGATCCCAGTGCCTACAGGTTCAGGGGAAGGGAGGGGAGGGGACAGTGTGACATGTTGGCTGGCTAGGGATGGTTCCTTGTGTTTAAACAGGGCTTTAAGGCCCACAGGGCTACGGCTGTGGTCTCCACACACTCATGCCATGGGCTGGTCCTGGCTTGTCCCTCCTCAGAACCAAGCAGAGCAGGGAGAGAGGAGAGGACACCAACACTGCAGAACGGGACAGCCACACTGGCATTGCTGTCTCGCCCCAGGGTGCTGGCAGTGGTGTTCTGCAGGGACACCCTCGTGCCCGAGCAGCCTGACACTTACGTCAATCTCACTGAGGATGACATCAATGATGCTGCCAATCACTATAAGGAAGTCAAAGACGTTCCAGGGGTCTCCAAAGTAGCCCTGCCAGGGAAGAGCCAGAGAAGAGGTGTGACCATCCAAGGGTTAAGTCAAGGAGAAGACAGATGCAGGAGCCTAGAGGAAGGAGTGCCAGAAGGATCGCCAGTGATCTCTGGCACCTCAGGAACAGCCAGAAGAAGGATGGGGGTCAGACCTGGTACCCTCTGGTCAATTGTTTGGTCCTGTCTTGCAATGGTGTGAAATGAGGAGGGTGGGTAGAGGTGGCTAGAGCTATGACAGATGACCCTGAAGATGGGGACAACAGCTGGCTGGACTGGGTTGGATTTGGCTAGCAAGGGTAGCCCTGACAAACAGTTGTCCTTCCAGAAACTCATAGGTCCTGTACATGGGGGTCCCCAAGGGTCTCACTAGGAGGAGTGCACTGGAGTTCAGGCATGGGGGTGCTTGTACTGGAGAGATGCCAAATGCAGGGTAAATGGACCCCCCCGGCCTGGCCTGAGGCCCTCTCCTGCTTTCCTGACCATGTCCTCCTCTCACCTTGGCTTTAAAGGCCATGAGCTTGAGGATCATCTCCAGGGTGAAGAGGATGGTGAAGGCCACGTTGAGGATGTCTGAGATGTGGTTCATTTCTGCAGACTGGTTGTAATGCTGAGGAGAAGGCAGGAGGAGCCACATTAGCCCACGGCAGGCCCAGCCTCCGTTGTGAGCTCAGAGGTGTGTGCTGGATGCAGCCCCCCTGCCCACAGAGCTTATGGTCAGGAATGGACAGCAAAAAGGAAATTTCCTCCCTGCAGCCTCTTCTCTGGGCTCCCCACACCCAACCAGTCCCCATTTGCCCCTGTCCCCAGGGGTGCTGAGTACACATGAGCTTTGCTGCATAGGAAAGACCTCCCCAGAAGCTCTCCAGGAGGTGGCAGGGCTCCCCTAGCCCCTCCGCTGCTGTGGACACCCCTCCACCACCCACGGTGCCCCTTACCTGCATGCGCAGGCAGATGAAGGAAGAACATGAGGTACTCAAAGTAGGAGGAGGTGACCACGTACCAGATCTGGTACTGGTAAGGGTTCTTGGGGATGTAGCGCCGCAGCGGGCGAGCCTTCAGTGCATACTGCACACACTGGCGCTGGGGAGGGGAGGGCAGATGAGGTCCCACGGGGGGCACAGGCGCAGCGTCAGCACCACTGGCAATGCTGCCCGTCCCCACAGACACAAGCTGGATCCCCCCCTTCTCTCTCAGCCCAGCAACATGGGACAGGGACAGTGATGGTTCAAGTATCTGCTATGCTTTCTGCAAATACACCCCCAGAGCAGCCACACAGGACCAAATTTCCAAAACCACTGCTTGCCTCCAAAGATTGCCATGCTGCCCTCGTACCTACCCCTCCAGCCAGCCCTGAGCCTGCCTGGCTATCGTGGCACTTTCCCAGGGTCTCTCAGGACTGGCCAAGAGCAGCCTGAAGACATTGCATGAACTGGGGGTGAAGGGGGCACTGAGTTTTCTCTCTGCACCTGGGAGGTGTTGAGCAGGCCCTTCCCTCTGCAGCAGGCCAGGGCCACCTCTGCTGGGTTCATGTGCAGCTCATGTCACCCCCAGCACCCCCAGCTCAAGGGGCCCGTGCCACCTCTGCAGGCTTGCTCAGCACATGGAGATGCCAGCACCTCCTGTGGGCCAGCGGGCATCCCGAGCGGGTCACGTCCTCTGCTGATGCCAAGTCTCACTTCTGCTGCTTCCAGCCTTGATGTGTGCAGCCAGAATCACAGCACGACAGCATCACAGAGGGACCGGCATGGAGGGTGCCTCTGGAGATGGTCAAGTCAAAGAGCCCTGCCCAAAGCAGAACATGCTGCCCAGGACTGCCCAGCTGGGATCTGAATACCTCCAAAGACGGAGACTCCACAACCTCTCCGGGCAACTTGTTGCAGTGCTTGACCACCCTTACCATAAAAAAGGGGTGTGTGTGTGTTAATGTTTAAATGGAATTTCTTGTTTTCTTCAGTTTGTGCCCATTGCCCTTTGTCCTGTCACTGGGCACAACAGAGAAAAGCCTGGCTTCATCTTCTTTACACCCTCCTGTTAGGTATTTACACACATAGGTAACATCCCTATGAGCTTTCTCTTCCCAACACCAGACAGACTCAGCTCTCAGCCTCTCCTTGTACGACAGATGCTCCAGACCCTCAGTCATCTCAGTGGCCCTTTGCTGGACTCGCTCCAGCATGTCCATGGCGTTTTTGTACTGGGAAGACCAGAACTGGGCACAACCCTCTGCTCCAGCTTAGTCTGGGTGCCCTACCTTCACCAGAAGGTACCAGAACTCCCTGGTTCTGGTCCACTCTGCCCTCCCCTTGGAAGGCTCGTATTGTGCCAGGCATGGGTCCAGCTGACCCTGCTGCAGCAGCGAGCAGACCTGGGGCGGGTTCAACCCATCTGCGCCAGCAGTGCCACCACTAAGGGCTGATCCAAATCAGCCAGCCCCAGCGGGGCCAGATCCAGGGCTGGTCCACCTTGCCCTGTTCCAGTAGTTCCATTACCTGGTTCTTGTCCAGTTCACAGTTCTTGTACTCGCTCTCCCCCTGCTCCTGGAAGGTGACAATGACAAAGCCCACAAAGATATTCATCATGAAGAAGGCAATGAGGATGATGTAGATGATGAAGAACATTGCAATCTCCACCCGGTAGTTGTAGATAGGGCCTGCGTCCTCAGCATTAGTGTCAATGGCCATGTACAGCAGCCTACAGGAGGGAAAGGGGGGCGACAGAGATCCTAGTTAGGTGGGAAAGACCATCTCCCCTCTTGAAGGTTACGGAGAGCTCTGGGGCATCCCAACTCCAACAATGGTGGGACAGGGCTGCTGGGATGACTTTGTCATCTGGCCACTGCCAGGATGGCTAGCCCTGCTCCGTAGCTTGGGCAGCTCTTCTTTCTTTACCATGGTCAAGGCTTGCAGCAGTGACCTGCTCCCAGCACAGACCCGTCCCTCGGCAGGCCCCGCGCACAGCAAGACTCACTCAGGCCAGCCCTCAAAGGTGGAGACAGTGAAAAGTGACATCATGGCTGAGAAGACGTTGTCAAAGTGGAAGTTGCTGTGCAACCAGACACGCTCCTGTAGCTCAATCTGCGTGGGGTCCCCGTCCACGTAGTTGATGAAGTAACCCCTGCAGCGGAAGGGATGCGGTGCTCACCAGGCAGGGCCCCCTTCAGCCCACCCACTGTGGTGCTGGCCCAGGGCTCTTTGGTCCCTGGGAGGGGACGATAGCCCTGTGCTTGTTTGTGATTCACCCCCGGGTGAGGGAGAACAGCACAAAACCTCAGCTCCACTTCTTGGATGCAACATCCCCATGCAGGAACACAAGTGGCCCCTGGCACACGCACCCCTCCCATCCCTGGCCACTGCCCTGCTGAGCGCTCTTACCTGCACTCCTTCTCTGTCATCTTCGACGGATCTGTGCATCTGTAGAACTTGCCCTGCATTTAACAGAGATCAGAAGAGACTACGCTTTTGCTGTGACTTCAGAAGCCCTAGGGAGTTTTGACTTTTTCACAGCCCAGGGTCGGTCCCCACCCTGCCTCCATGCTGACGCTGGCCCCTGCCCCACACCACCGCTGGCTTCCCCACTCTGCATGCCAACGCAACCCAGCTCACAGGGTGTTTCAGGAGCCGCGGCAAACCTTGGGGTCAATCCCAGGCTCAGACAAGTAAACATTGCCCAGTGATGGGAACAAATTTTTCAGGGCCCTGAGCTGAGACCTATCCAGTTCATCCTATTTGGGAGCCACATGTTTGGAAAATAGGGAAGAAAGAAGGAAGCACAGAATTAACTAAAACTTAAGGTATGCTGACAGGTCTGCTCAGTCTGCACGGTGTCCTGAAAGCTCTCCCCACATCGGCTGGGAATTTAAGCTCAGTTATCAGAGTAAAGCTGAGCTCAGCCAGGGCCAGCTCTGCTGTGGAGCAGCCAAGGCCCAGAGAGCAAGGGTCGTGCTGTGAAAAAGGAAACGCTCTGCATCCAAAGCGCAGAGGAAGTCAAAAGCACGTGCTGCCTCGTAAAAGGGGAAACTGAGGCACCAAGTGGGGCGAGGCAGCCGGTCCCTTTACACTTGCTGTCCTGACCTGACAGCATCCAGGTGCTTCCTGCCCTCCTCCCCCTGCAGGCTCTTCTGCCGGGAGGTCTGCTGTAGGCAGGACAGGTCTGCTCCAGAGCACAGAGTACAGCCTGGGCTGACCTCAGCACTGGGAGACACCACCCCCAAGGGCTATGACTAGAAGAGCCTGTCCAGGATGTGCAGAACGTCTCTCCTGCCTGTCTGAGACACCCCTCACCTTGAAGAGCTGGACCCCGATGCAGGCAAACATGAACTGCAGCAACGTCGTGACGACCACGATGTTACCAATAGTCTTGATGGCCACAAACACGCACTGGACCACGTGCTGCGGAGGTTGAGGACAGTGCACACGTGAGCACACCTGGGGCAAGCCCCTGCTGCGTGTCCCATACCCTCTCACTGCAGCGCTGGGCCCCAGAGAGAGCGGGAGCCATCCAAGAGCAGTGGGATGGGGCAGACCCCTTCCACAGATGGGGAGTGAGAATTGGGTTTCTGGCCCCACAAACCCCACAGGGCATCGTGCTTGCCACATAACCTCCCGTGAGGACTCCCATGGGCCAAGAACCCCCAGCCTCCCTCTTACCTTCAGCCCCTTTGCCCTGTTAATGGCTCGCAGAGGTCTCAGCACCCTCAGCACCCGGAGGATCTTCACCACTGAGATGGCACTGGACCTGAGGGGGAAGGCAGAGCTGAGATGGGGCGATTCCCTGCCCAGGCCAGCCTGGCACAGCCCCACCAAGCAGCCATGGAGGCCAGGCTGGGACCAGGGGTGAGGTGCAAGGGATGGCAGAGACATGCGGGTGTCACTAAGCCACCACCCCATGTAAGGCCAAGGGACACTGTCAGCTGGAGAAAGCAGCTCCAAATTGAATTCCTACCCACATCTTCACCTTTGATATTCAGGGAGTTTCCTTCCCTGCCTCCCAGTTGTCCACTCCCTGTCCCCCTAAGCATGACTTCGTGGCCACTAACACATGGACTAATGCCCAGCCCTCGGGCTCGCTGCTCCTTCTCCATCCAGCACAGAGAGCTGCAGCTCCCCAGCTGCTCTGCCAGGCTGAAGAGGTCAGTGCCCACCCCGCGACGCGTGGAGGTGCTTACTCGATTCCCATGGAGATGAGAGAGACAGCGACAACCAGCAAGTCGAGGATGTTGAAGGAGTTCCTGCAGAAGGAGCCTTTGTGCAGGAAAGCACCGTAGGCTGTCATCTGGGGAGCAGAAGGCGTTAGGAGAGAGGCCAGGCAGGGCTCGGGGGCATGGTCCCTCCACAGCCCTGGGGCGGACATGCACGAGGGGCTTCTCACAGCTCCATGGCCCGGGGACCCTATCCTGCCCTGACCTCTGCAGCCGGGCAGGAAGCTGACTTCAGCTGGAAATCCTCTGTACTGTACTGGCTGGGGACAAAGCACTTCCCAGTCATTCGGCAAATTAAAGAGGAGAAGAGTAAAGAGAGTTGGAGTGGGAGCCATGTGCAGCAGCTGCCTGAATTACTGTTTTACTCCACAGATTTCCATTGCTTTCTCTTTCTCAAAGTTTTTCTCAAGGGCATGTCAGAATGAAAATGCTGGGCCATGGCCCATCTGTCCTTGTGTCACAGCACAGCTGACTCGGCCACCCAACCTCATTGGAGGGGACATGTGGCCTCCGGAGCAGGTCACACACCACCTAGACTGCGTGAACTCTGGAGACGTGAGGATCAGCCAGCAGCTTCTCCTCAATGGGCCCTCGAGCTTGAGCCCAAAGAGCATCAGTGCCCATGACTGGAACAGTCTAGACCCATGTGCTCAGTCATGCACATGGCCAGGACCGCGGGGCAGACAGACTCACCTTCAAGACGATTTCAACTGTGAAGACAGAGGTGAAACCAATGTCAAAGTATCCAAGAATCTGGGGACAGAAGCACCAGAACTGGGTGAGATTTGGGTGACAAGGGAAATGCTCCAGCGTGTTCAAACATCCTGCCATCGTGGGTTTGCCCTCTGCTCCCATCTAGCTCAGCAGAGCTTGCAAACCCAGTGACAAGAAGACTCCTGACCTTCCTGCAGCTTTGCTGGTTTTCCCCAGTGCATGATCCAACCTGCAGCCTGGGACCAAGCTCTCCATTCCCAAATGAGCGAGGCTTGACCTGATTCACCTGAAAGCATCTGATCCCCAAAAGCACTGCATGCTCGGGGGAGCTGTCTCCTGTGAGACCCCCCAGTCCCTGCCGGACACTGCAGACCCATTTGTGCCTTGTGTGGCTAGGCCAGGCCACCACAGCCTTGAGCCAAGGCAATCTCACACACCCTGTCAGGTGGATCTCTTCACTCAGAAGTAAACTGAGACATGGAGCGGAAAAAACTTGCCCCAGCTGTGCCCTGACTGGAAAACAGGACCAGCCTCTCCTCCCAGAGTGCATTGCCCTCCCAGAGGCAGGGGTGAAATCACAGCTACCGGCCCAGGCATGACATCTGGCAAGCAGGTCTCTGCTTCCTGGGGAGCTGGGGGTCTCCATGAGGTCTCCCCCACCCATCCCAACCCTCCACAGCCACATGGGCACCTGGTTGCGGAAGGACTCGGCGCGGATGGGATCCTCAGCTGCGAGCGAGATGCTGCTGAGCAGAATGAAGAGGAGGATGAAGTTGGTGAACCAGGTGGCATTGACAATTCTGTGGCAGAGCATCCGAAACCTGACAGGGACAGAAACGGCATGAGATGCTGAGGACAGGAAGGTCCTAGGCATGAAGGTATGTCTATGCCAGCCCTTCTACAGAGACGACTTTTTTGCAGTGAGCTGGCTCCCTTCAGAGCTGGCTGTTATGCACAAGTAGGACCTCATTGGGAAGGGTCAGTGCCAGGGGTACCTGGGCTAGGCCTGGCTCCACAAGGCGGGGAGAAGGGTCAGTGCCTACTTGTTGGTTGGGCTGAAGATGAAGAAGGAGCTGGCTTCAGGCATGGGCACAGCCTTCTCTTTCAGCTGCAGCTCTGCAAGGGGACGTGGCCGAGGACTCAGGGGGATTTCAGGCTCATCTTCTTCATCATCACCTGCAGGGTGGCCACAAGGAGGGAAAAGGAAAGAATCACCCAGAGAGGAAGAGGGAATGTGACCTTATGGACAATCCTCTGATCCTGAATTGCTGCCTGTGCCAGAAGGACCTCCGTACCCTGAGGTTGGAGGAGGGTCACCTCCTTTGCTCCTCACACAGCCAGGGTTCTAGCACCATCCCTCTCCAGTGCCTCCCCAGCTTTTCTGCTGCCCTGCCAGGGACAAGCCTTACCTGGGAAGTCTGCAGAAGGGTAGGGGTCTTTGATCTCATTGACATTGGATTCAAATTCGTCCACTTTTAACTGAAACAAGATAGTGAGAGAGAGAAGGATATGCAGCTGCGTGTGCCAGCATGGCTGCAAATGTTGCACGGTGTCCAGACCCTATCATCTTGGAAGCTGTGTGGGACAAGCAGTGTCTCTGCATTTGGCCCATACAGCACCAAGCACACGGAGTCCTGGCCCAGGATGGAGCAGGACAAGGAGAAACACCTCAGGGACGCTGCAATCTGAGCAAAGAGCAATACCGAGAGGTTGGGACAGGAGAACGCGTGCTGGGCAAGAGCCTGGGGCCATTCCACCAGGGGTGGAATAAAGACATGGGGTGACTCCTGGGTGAGTTCCCATGGGGCAGCTCTGGAAAGTGGATAGGGAAGGAGCTGCTGGACAGATGCTCATAAGAGGCATCTTGGCACAGTCAGTGCAGCTGAACAGAGGGGTTTTGGATACAGGGGGTGCTGGTGTGGACATAAAGGAGGTCTGGGATGCTGCTGACCTACTCTGCTCCCCTCCACACTGATGTGCACCAGCCCACCTCAACCAGCGACAGCTGGCTGTGGCCAAGGAAATGAATCAGAGGAAAAGGATCCCCAGCAGTGGACCTGTTTCATCAGGCAACATGTCCTGCCTGAGCCCAGAGAGCCACCATCACCAGAGGACGCTAAGGCGAGGAGCAGATCGGGCTCAGAAGAGTCCAGACCCAGGTTGGCTCCAAGCCTTTGTCAGTTCTGGCTGGTGGGAGGCGGAGCCTAGTCCCTCCCCAGGAGCTCCCCAAGGCCCAGCCCTAACAGCACTGACCTTGGCTGTTGTGGGAATCCCTTCTCCCTTTGCTTTCTGCTCAAGCTTCTTTGCCAGCATCTGCTTCTCATCTTCAGACTTCTCTGGGTAGCCTCTGAGCAGAGAGGAGGGGAGAGCAGGATCTGAACTCTGGGCAGGGGCGTGGGTGTTGCTGTTCTGTCCCCTCACACCAAAGCATCTGATCTGGGAGCTCCCACTGCCGGGCACTGCAGCACTCACCTGGACATCTTCCGCCGCTTGCGCTCCTCTGCTTTGGCCTTCTGGGCTAAGGTCAGGCTCTCAGCCTCGGCCAGGTTATCAACTGCGATGGCCAGGAAGACATTGAGGAGGATGTCTGGAGGGACAGAGCTAAGGACATCAACTTGGTTCACATTTGGAGGATGTGGCCAGAGCTGCCCACAGTCTCCAGGGTGCCCTGAAAAACCGTCCTGGAGTTGAGCCCTTGAGACAACCCTGGCTGGTGGTCCCTAACCCTGCTCCCATCCTTGTGAGCACTGAGCTGTGGGCTGGCTGCCCTCTCGCTGCGTTAGCTCAGTCTGTCAAGCTCCGTCCGATGGCTGAATCTGTGCCTGCTGGTCATCCAAACCTGCCCCGTGGTGTGCCTTCCTCCAGACTGCAGACCCCAGCACCACCACTGCCTGTGGTTTGTTTCGCCACTGTTCAGAACTGAAAAGCTTAAGGAAGCCCCCCCTGCTTCCCGGTCCTGTGTATCTGATGCTGTGGGGCTGGGTACAGGGACCCTGGGCCTGGCTTCGCAGGCAGAGGATACAGTTCCCACAAACGAAGAGGATGATGAAGTAGATGCAGACCAGCATGCCCGGAAAGGACGGGCCCCCATAGGCCATGATCCCATCATACATGATTGAATTCCAGTCCTCTCCGGTCAGGATCTGGGAGCAGAGCAGGAATAGGGACTCAAGAGCTGCTACAGCAGAGCACAGCAGAACCCCACAGCTTGATCCTGCCCTCCCAGCTCCAGCCCCGAACCCTCACAGCCTCTAAAGCCCCATGGCCAAACCCCACCTCCCTACTCCAGCCCTGAACCTGCACTACTGCTTATGACCGCAGTTGCATTTCCCTGCTCCTGTCGCAGACCCACATCACCTCCCCCAAACCCACACCTCCCCGAGCCCCAGCTCTTGCCAGGAGACCCACGGCCCAGGTGAGACTCCCAGCCCCCCGTCCTCCAGCCCCCTGCCCACAGCCCCCTACCTGGAAGACACTGATGAGGGCCTGGGGGAAGTTGTCAAATGTGCTGCGCCGCACTTCCATGTCCTCAAAGTCAAACTTGCCCCCAAAGAGCTGCATGCCCAGCAGTGCAAAGACAATGATGAAGAGGAAGAGGAGGAGGAGCAGAGAGGCAATGGAGCGGACCGAGTTGAGCAGGGAGGCCACCAGGTTGCTCAGAGATGTCCAGTACCTGGGGAGAGCAGAGACAGGAGTGTGCGGGAGTGGAAGGAGTGGGGAAGGCTGTGGGCAGGACTGGGTAGGTGGGCGCAGGGAACAGACGGCCTGGCCCAGCAGGGTGTGCCAGCAGCCCAGCAAGGGGGGGCTCTGAACCAGCACCACTCACAGGCTGGGCACTGGGACTGCTCCAGACAGGGCCCAGGAGGTGGAAATGAAGCTCCAGGCATGGCTTGGCAGGCAAGACACGCCGGCGCCTGCACAGGGCACCAGCAGGCAGGACGGAGAAGGGGGATGAGCACACAGTGGGTTGGTGCCAGAAAGAGAAGCCAGGAGTCCTGGCCCACAGCACCCCCATTTACAACACCCCAGAACCCAGAGTGAGAGAGGGACCCCAGGAGACTTCCAGCAAGCCCTGTTCTGTCCTCCTTGCTGCTCCCAGATCATGTCCTAGAGACAGAAATCCCCAGGTTGGCCTTGTTCCTCCATCCAGGAGCTACCAGCTCTGCTCATGCTGCAGCCCTCCCCAGGGACAAGGCAGTGATGCCTGGGGACCGCAAGCCCCCAGCAACCACAGAGCTCCCTCTCCAACCTGGTGATCTTGAAGATGCGGAGGAGGCGGATGCAACGCAGAACAGAGATGCCCAGGGGTGACAAGGTGCCAAGCTCCACCAGGATGGTCTCCAAGATCCCCGCACACACCACGAAGCAGTCGAAGCGGTTGAAGAGTGACATGAAGTACTGGCGCAGGCCCAGCGCATACATCTTCAGCAGCATCTCAGCCACAAAGAGCGCAAGCAGCACCCGGTTGGCATTGTCTGGGGTGGGAGATCCAGCCCATCAAGAGCATGGACCTCTTCATCTCGGCATGGCACGGCAGGAAGGGAAGGAGGGTGATGCTGCTCACCTCCCTTCTCTGCCCACCACCAAGCCCTGAGCTGCAGCTGCAGCGAGTGCTGGTTTTCAGGGAGCACACAGGAGAGGAAGATGAGGAGACGGGCGACGTGCAACTGTGCGCTTGTATGTGTGAGAGTGTGGCTGTACTGTGCACCTGAGTCCATGCAGTGCGTGCGTGTGTACTGAGCTGTGCATGCGTGTGTACGTGCGGCTGAGCTGTGTACGTGTGTGCATGGCTGTACTCCATGTGTCTGTGTGTGTTTGCGTGTGGGTGGGTGCAGGTAGTGTGGCTGCATGCACAAATGTACATGCAATGCATGCAAAGTGTGTGCATGCAATGTCTGTGTGTGTACTATGCATGTACAGGTGTAAGTGGATGTAAACACCCTCTGTGTGTGTTCACCGTGCAAACCCATGTCCCTGAGATGTGCACGTATATACGCTGTGCATGTGTACCTGCATGCACCGCCCATGTTCAATGTGCCGTTGTGTGATGGTGCAGTTGGGATGGTGTACACACACTTGTGTGCAGGCTGTGTTTGTGTGCATGAGCACGTCTGCGCGTGTCGAACAGCTCCTATGCCAAGCCAGCGTGGCTGCACAGGCACAGTAAAAGTTCACACATATCTCTGGGGCAGCAGGGTGTCCCGGGCCCTCCCCCTCCCTCAGGCTCTTTGCTCACCTTGCACCCGGGTCAGCCATTCTGGCTGGAAGTGGTGCTCAGAGGCGATGGAGAGGGTGTTCAGTGCCACCAGCAGGATGACAAGCCAGTAGAAGAACTTGGACTTCACCACATCCCTGCACTTCCTACGAAACATTCGGTTCCAACGCCTCCACTGACGGCTGGAGAGACGGCCAAAGGGTCAGCAGGGCTGGCCAGCGGGTCCTGCCCAGTCCAGGGCTGTGCCTGCAGGCTGCAGAGCAAAGACACCCCTGCTCCCTTCTCCAGGGCCTCCCCTGAAAAGGGCTGAGGAACACAACCCTGCCCCTGGCACTTGGTGCATTCACTCAGGCATTGCAACTCATTCACACAAACGCTTCCTGGCTCCTTTTTGCCCCCGGTCACCTCTGGTTGGCCACTACAGGCCCAGCTCTTAAATCACGAGACATGCAGCATGGGCCGCGAGAGGATGCTCAGAGCCTGGTCCCAAAGTGAAGAGGTTGTTCACCTCAAAGTGGCTTTTTGCAAGCACCAGAGCAAAATTCCCTGTTTGCGGTCTGCAATGTTTGTATCTCCTCCTGAGCACACAGCCCCTGGCTCTCTCCCAGAAACCGGCATCTGACAAGAAAGCCTGGCCCAGCCAGGACAGCAAGCAAGAGACTGTGCAAGCCCACATGCAGAGCAGCAGATGGTTCAGCCAGTGCATACTTACAAGTAGAGAATCCACTTGTTCATGCCTTCAATTTCATACAAGCTCTCCGTCTCTGACCCTCCTTCATCCGACGTCATCATACCTATGGAGGGAACGACATCCCAGGCTTTCCCTGGAGCCCTTGGGAAGAATCTGTGGGAGGGAGCCTCTCCCAGGAGCACATCAGAAAGAGCTTCCCCATCAGAAGTGAAATCAAGAAATGCTGTCTGGGGAGACAGCAGTGAGAGCTTGGGCAGAATGTTTGGAGCGTCAGGGGCAACCCAAGTAGGAGGCACCAGGAACAGCCGCCCTGCAGCAAGAACAGCAGCCACCGAGAGCGGCGGCCTGGACAGCCAGCAGTGTGTCCGCAGGCTCCCCCCACGCCAGACCCTGCCAGCAGGGAAAAAACTGGGGTCAGTTGTGATCTGAGCAAATGCTGAACAACAGGAGGTTTGCAAGAGCGCTGGCCACAGGTGTGGAAGAGGCGTTTTGTCTTTCTCACCATTTCCCAAGGCTCTTTGCACACATGTATTGGCTCAGCTTGAAGCATCAAAAGGTATTTCACTAGGCAGGGTGGCAGAGCAGATACAGCGCTGCAGTGGCAGAGCTCCCCAGGCCTTGCTGAGCCTTTGGCTAGATGCCTGGGTGTTCACCTCCTTCCCTAAACCACTTCTAATCCCTCAAAACTGTCAAGCAATGGCAAGAAATTCGTGCCCCTGTCAGTGTGCAAGCCAGTTACCCTGCGCTCCGCCCCTGCACAGAAAAGGGCACACTTTCCTCATGGATTCCTTTAAAGTGCATTTTGCCAAAGGACACCTAGGGTTTGCTTGTAGTCTGCAGATATTAAATATAGTGGTTGAGGTGGAGATTTAGCATGAGGGCCAAGTTATTGCTATTTTGGGTCAGATTCAATAAAATCCGGGCGTGCAGCACAGACTGGGATCCACCTGGCTGGAGAGCAGCTCTATGGAAAGGGACCTGTGGGTCCTGGTGACCAACAAGCTCCATAGGAGCGAGCAGGGTGCTGCTGCGGCCAAGGCCAGCAGGGTGCCGGGGGGCCGCACCAAGGGCATCACCACCAGGGATAAAGAAGTCATCGTCCCACTCTGCTCAGCACTGGCCAGGCCCCACCTGGAATCCTGTGCCCAGTTGTGGTCCCCACTGTACAAAAAACATGTGGACAGGCTGGAGGGGTCCAGAGCAGGGCCACCAAGGTGACCCAAGGGCTGGGAAGCCCCTCTCACTCAGCCGGATGGGGATGGGCTGGGAGAGCTGGGTTTGTTCAGCCTGGAGCAAAGGAGGCTCAGAGGGGATCTCATCACCACGTCCCAGTACCTAAGGGGGAGCTACAGGGAAGATGGAGACTCCCTTTTCACAAGGAGTCCCATGGAGAGGACAAGGGGGAATGGACACAAGTTGCTCTTGGGGACATTCTGACTGGACACAAGAGGGAAATTTTTCCCCATGGGAACAGTCACCCATTGGAATAATCTCCCCAGGGGAGGGGTTGGCTCTGGCACATTGGACACTTTGAAGCCTCAGGTGGACAGGGTGCAGGGCCATCTTGTCTAGGCTGGGCTCTTGCCCAGAAAGGTTGGACCAGATGATCCTGGAGGTCCCTTCCAACCTGGGATTCTATGATTTAATGATTCTATGAAAATGATTCAGGAAACAGAAAAATAAAGGAGGAAGGAAACTGTTCTGCAGAAATCAAAGCATTTTGTTCCACCAGTTTTCAAGCAAAGTGAGCTTTGTGACTTCTCCACAGGTCTCCACCCTGCCTCTCTAGGACGCTCAGTGTTAGGAACCCAATCCTCAAGCTAAGGCAGAGCTGGTACCTTCTCCTCTGGCCCGGTCACTGTCCATGACTTCTGCGTGGGTGATCCAGTCCATGTAGCCCTTTAGGTCCTCCTCCAGCTGCTGCTTCTCCCGCAGCTTCTGAAACGTGCCTCGGGACTTGGCCTTCTCACGCTCTTTGGTGAACTCGCTGGGACAAGGCAAGCAGCAGAGTGAGACTTGGGGCATGGAGGTCAGGCACCACAGCTCTGTGCCAGGCCAGGCCTTGTAGAAAGACAAAAGCCTGAAATACCATACCAGCTAGTGCCACCACTAGGCTGTTGTAGTGACTTTCCTCTTTCCTGGCCCTGTCCCATGATGCAAGATCATGGGGGACCATCACCAGATGCCTGATGGCAGGCAGGGTTTCTTCCCCACCACCAGCTGCTCTTTGGCAGCTCCTTGCTGCAGGATGCTGTGGTTGGACAGGCCACCTAACGCTAGAAGCTGAAGGCTGTGGAAGTTCTCTGTCCCCGCTAAGGAAGGGAGCAAGTGGGTCTCACCCATCCACAGGGCAGAAAGCTGCCCCAAGCTCTCCCTGTGGGGAAGGTGAGCTCATCATATGGCAAGCAGACAGGACACTGTTTTCATGGTAACATGGAAAAGAGAGGTCTGCCAGTGCAGAGGGGCCCACCTTCTCTTTCTTTTTAAATGAATCTCTTTTCTCTCCTGCTCTCTGGCAGGACGGTGGATCTGCTGCCCAGCCAGTCTGCTGTTGCCGTGTGTTAGCAATAGGTCTCAGACATTATAGCAATACCGAGACATGCTAAGCCTCAGGACTTGTCAGGCCTTGCCTGGATTTTCCTGACCTCAAGCATATTTTAGCTGTATTTGCAAAAATTTTGCAGAAACTTTTGCTGTGCCTGCAGCTCACTGTAGGATCACGGGACTACCGTTCCGCTCCTCCTGCTGACAGAGCCGACTCCACACAAGGGGCAGCTGCCTGTGCTCTGTCTTGTGGTTTTGACCTTGTTTTAGTTATGTTAACACCCAATTTTTTTTAACCTTGTGCAGTTGTGTGGTTCTTGCCCTAGAAGAGGGCTAACAAATCCAAGTAATTAGGGTCTAACTAACCCTGTCAACTAATAGAGATGATGAGTGCGATCCGCTTGCACACACAGGATTGAAATATATAAAAAATACCCTAAGCCTACACAGAACTGAGGAGAAAAGCCTCCCCCCCACCATCCTCAGGGCAACACAGACTTCCCAGCAACAAATCGGGATGCTGGCACCTCACCACAGTGATGCGCAGTAGGTTGAGTGTTGCACCAGAGATATTTTGTGCATAGCAGCTTTAACTGTACTAAAAATGGGAATTAGCACTAATGGAGCCATTTGGCACAGAAGTGTTCTGATCACCGTAACAGACTGACGATCACTCGTCGTTGTATTTGGATGAGACTGTTGAAGCATTAATTAGACGAACAGTAATTCTCTTGGATCCCTTGCATTCATATCAAAGTTGTTTTCCTTAGGTTGGCCATAAGGAAAATTGTGTGTGCTCCCAGGAGGACGGCAGCACTGTAGGTACCCACAAGTGCCTCGACCCACAGCCGTGGGCAAGGACGGCTGCTCCGAGCTCCCTGCTCCGCTGCTTTGGCTGCGCGTGCTGGCAGACCGCACTACGAACACCTAACGTGCTCCGGGGCTGCGTTTGCTGACAGCTGCTTGTGCTACAGGGAGAAGATTTCTGTGTTAGGTGTTGAGCTAAAGCCTCAGGCAGTCACGGACACTAACACAAAAAGCAACTTAGGGCTCAGGGTTCCTGAGCATGCAAAAAATGGGGAGAAGAAGAGGAGAGGAAAAGGAACAGACATTTTTCCAGGCTTTCTTCTTGCATTGTTAAAAACAGCCAATGTCCACACTTTAATCATGCTCACTGATCTGCTGGCAAAGAGAAAGGACCGGCACTTACCCGCTGAGCACCCCCAGCACCAGGTTGAGAACAAAGAAGGAGCCAAGCAAGATAAGGCTGACAAAGTAGATCCAGGGCCATTCGTTCCCAATGGCATCATTTACCTGGCAAGGAGAGAAGCAGATGAAGCATCCTGACCACACTCTCTGCTGCCTGTCTCCCCTAAAGTGCATGTTTGGGGTGGTAGCAGATAAACCTGACTCTGAACCCTGACTCCTTATGACTCTGCATCTGGTTTTAGTGGAGGTGAAGCCTAGACCCAAGCATTTTGGGAGCAGATAAAAACATCAGCCCTGTGCCCCAGCCTTAGCAAGACAGTCTTCCAAGGACTGCAAAACATGGGGCTTTGCTGAAGCATCCACCAGGCAGCCACTGCCGTGCTTGGCCCGCACTCCTTCACCCTTCCATCTGCTTGGAGAGCAAGGACAGCTCGGGCTGTGCCTGCAGAGATGCAGAAGAGATGCCTGGTGCGCTATGGGATGAAGCTTGGTGGGGGCAGGATGCCTTTCACTGGCAGAGAGACCTAGCCCCACTACGGGGTCCTGTGTCCGGGAGGGAATTCCCCTCTCCGAGGCGGGACCAGCAGTGACCTCCTCCAAGCTGGGCACCAAGCGCAAGCTGCTGGAGCCTACCCAGTAGAGGACTTCAGTCCAGCCCTCCATGGTGATGCACTGATAGACAGTCAGCATGGCAAAGCCAAAGTTATCGAAGTGAGTGATGCCATCATTGGGCCCCGGCCAGCCGCTTCGGCACTCAGTGCCATTGATGGTGCAGTGTCGCCCATGGCCAGAATTGGTGCATGGGGCTGGCTTCTCCGATGCCACTGTGGCAATCACATCTGAGGGGGAAAGCCATGGTGTCAGCAGAAGATCAGGCCACATAGAGCAGGTCCCAGCACCCCCCAGCCTCTGCAGAAGCTTTCCAAAAGGGGCCCTTTTCACCACCTCCTCACATCACGTACCATCACCAAACCATGTGCTATAGCAAACATCCTTCCGTCCTACCACACTCCCAGGTCTGACACTGGCAAGACCAGACTTTCTGCGACCTACAGCACCTCTGTGGTCCCCACAGCAGCCACACAGAGACACCTCTGCCTATCGGCCCCTTGCCACAGCCCCACCTGTCCCAAGGTAGTAGCAGGTCTTGTGCATCTTGCCCTTGAAGAGCTCTTGCCCGACGATGGCATAGATGATGATCATGAAGAGGACCAGGAGGGCAATGTGGAGCAGTGGCACCATGGCTTTGATGATGGAGTTCAGGACGACCTGAAGGCCTGCACAAAAGAGAAGGGAGAGGAGGTCAACCACTTCCTGAACAGCTTTGGGTGCACCTTGCTGTCCTGTCAGCCCCTCCAACAAGCAGCCTCTGAAATGCCCTGTGCCAAGGGAAGAGGGGCTCATATGGGCTGGGACTGAATCTCTGAAACAAGAAACCCACTATGCGAGTGTGTGGAAGACCCTAGCAGAGCCAGGCACCAGGCAGTGCCAGAGGCTGCTTCATGCCCCTCCATTTGTTCTGTTGCTCTCATCCTGGCTGTATTCACACAAGTTATGGGAGAAGGAGATCCCTGCCCTGAGAAACTAGAGCGAGGTCCTGGCCCCTTTCACACTGGCCACCCAAAGGTGCTGACACTGAGCCATGGAGGGAGTGCAGATCCCCAGTGCTGACAACTGCAAGCTGTAGGGATGAGCAAAAACCTGTGGCTCCTCCACACCCACCTTGTGGCTGGGCTTGACCCAGCAGCAACAAGAAACCTTCCCCATGGCCCCCCGCCCCGGCCAGGCACAGGGGTTCAACCGTCCTGCCAGCCCTTCATGCTGGCAGGGCACCCAGCACCCACTCGGCACTCCGGACACCAGGCGCAGGGGTCTCAGCACACGAAATGCTCGCAGGGCCTTCACGTCGAAGCCGCCTTTTCCCCCTGAAGTCCCTCCCTGCTTCGCATTGACCTGCTCCAGGGTCATGGTGATAAGCCTGAAAGAGCCGGGGCACAGAGCAGGGAAGAAAGGGGGAGAAGCAGAAGGAAGGATAGGGAGAAAGAGAAAGGCATGAGGACGGAGACCAAGAAATCTGTGCTAAGGAGTCAGCGCTCTGCAGGCAGGAAAGCGGGGGACAGGACTCTGCCAGCCATGCTCAGCCCAACCCAGGGAACAGCTCTTGGCTAAGTCCAACGGGCTCTCCCACCCCCTGGTGCCCAGTGGACCCTTTCCCATTCTCCAGGGCAAGGAGATCTGAGAGGCATTAGGGAGTCAGACAGGTAGAAACAGGAGTTAGAGAGGATCCCAGGGGATGTCAGGGCATGAAAAAGGGGCCCATGGGAGAAGGCCATGAACTGAGCCTACGAGCTGCCCCCAAACCCTCTGCAGTCACTAGAAAAATCAATGTAGCTGATGGGCTATGGACCGGGCCCTGGCACAAGCTGAGCACCAGCAGTTTTCCCTCCTTGCATTACCCTAGGGACACGATGGAGAAGTCAAGCACATTCCAGCCATTTCGGAGGTAGGCATCCGTGTGGAAAAGAAACCCATAGGCAATTATCTTGAGCATCGCCTCAATGGCAAAGAAGATCAGGAAGGCGTATTCGATCTTCTCCTGGGGATTGGAAAATCAAGCAGGAGAGGATGTTCCGTTAGAGCAGACTGTCACCTCCCCTGGCATCACCACCATGCACAGCTGCCCCCCGCGCGTCTCTGGATCAGCCCCTGCTGCCAACCCATCTGCGATCTCCCGCAGGCACCAGGCAGCACTGCGGCTACCCTGGGCAGGACGGGGTGGCATGCTGAGCTGCCACATTGCCGCTCTGGCCTGCAGCATGATCCCCTGCACCCCCTCAATGGCACGCCACCAGGACCATGTCCCTGGGCTATGAGTACCTGTGCTTACAACCTACGCCAGCCAGCAGAGCCACCGCTTCCCAACCCAGCACCCAAAGGTGCCTGGCCCAGGGCACTGTACATCTCTGGTTCTCCTCCCGACTGCCTCACCCTCCCGTTCTCCCACAGCCTTCCTCCCACAGGCAGCACTGATGTCTTCTCCTCATCCTCCCTGGCTGAGGGCTTGCTAGGTCCTGGAGACACCACAGAGTCACCACGGCACAAGCCAGCCGCACTGGGGCTTCCCTTGTGCCCAGGGCTCCCAGGGAAGCAAGGCCTTGGGCTCAAGGCCTCCTGCCTGGTGCCAGACGCCTGCCTGGCAGAGCGAGCTGCTAGGGACTGGCCTGGGGGCCTGCGGGGCAGCGGCACCGTGCCCCCTCCCCGTGGGGCCCAGCACCCCCCTACGGGCGCTCAGCGCAGCCCCGCAGCCGCAGGGCCCAGAATAGCTCATCCTTCCCCAGGGAACGGCCAAGAGCACCCGGGCCCACCTGGTTCTGCCCATCACCGTGGTCACTGCCCTCACTGCTGCACGGCCCTTTCCAGACTGGGATTAAAATCCTTCCGAAGCAGCCAGATGGATGGGGGTATTTATATTTCTGGTTTTCCATGGCCCCTCTCCTCCATCTGCACCCCACGAAGGGCAAGGAACATCCCCGCTTGGGCTCTGCAAGGAATTGCACCCAGAAAGGCAGAAGCGTCTCTCTGACACCAAACTGGGAGCAGGTCTCTGCTGGGGAAGGCTGCAGTGTTGCGAGCACACCTTCCTCCCAGGGTCCTGCTGGCTCGCCAGACGGAAAATGCCGTCCAGTGAAGAAACCAGGGCCAGGGCTCAGACAGAAGCATTGCTTGCTCAGTTACCATGTCCAAAAGCAGTGGCCATGCCAAGTGTCCCTGTATGACTGTCACCAATACAAGTGCCCATTCCTTGTCGGATCTGAGGGCAGCAATGGTAAGAGCAGAGACCTGAGCACTGCGATTATTGGTGTTATCAGGGCTCTGCCTTCAAGGTTTTAGCTAAGGCAACTCAATGCCACTCGCTTTCCCCCGTTACCAGTGACAGATCCCCCCTAGTCTGTCCCTGAAAGCCTGTCCTTGCAATCCCAGACATGCAAACACAACTATCGCGAGGATCATTTCAGGTATGGAGGGACTGCAGAGCTGCACCAGCAGCCAGTGGTGTGGGGGGGCATCTCCCCTGCTGCAAATGGAGGAGAAATGGGGGAGCCCACTGCGAGCTACAGCATCCTGAGGCTGCCAAGGCCCAGCCTGGCGAGTGTCAGGATCCAACCTGGAGCCCCAGGACTGCAAAAGCCAATTCTTTGCCCTGCTTCATCCAGCAGGACAGAGTCAGGCTCCAGGGTCTCTGACTAGCAGGGATCCCCCTCTGAAAACCCCTTGCCCAGAATCAAAAGGTGACGTGCTATTCCTTGGATGCCCCTTTGAAAAGCCCAGACCAGACGAATGGTGCTTTGGCCAGCTCTAACGGTGTTTGCCCACCACGTACAGTCAGTGAGCAGCAAGTTTCAAACCTGGGCCGAGGGAGAGGCAGCAGGCAGCCCCCTGCGACCTGGCTGTGCTCCCTCCATCCTGGGAGAGGCAGTAATTGCACATGACCTTGCAGCAGCTCACTATTGTGCTTTGCAGACCCAGCCACACATACACAGATCCCATCCTGATCTGTCCTGCTGGTGTAGCCCCTCTAGTGCATGGAAAAGTCTTGGCACGGCCAGTATGAAGGTTCTATGCACTGATCTATCAGTGCTGGCTGGAGGGATCCCCCATCATCTCTCCTGCAGTTCCCCCAGCTTATCTGGCTGTAAACTGTGGGCAAGTGCTGACGTTAGCAGAGCAAGAGGAGCCAGGCCCCTGACCATGAAGACACCTCACAAGCATCTTTGCCATCGGGCTGAGGTGGGGCAGCCTTTCAGTGGGTCATGGCAAACACTCTCTGGATTCTCCAAGTGGTAGGTGGAGCTGCAGGACACATACTGGCAATGAAGCTCATGTGGCCACAAAGCAACGTCCTGAGCCAGGGCAAACCTACTGCTGCCTTTGGATACCAGCAGAAAGAAGCTAAGGGGTGTTTTGTCCTGGCAGACTTTATACCAGGTCAAGCACCACATGTGCTGCAGCTGGTGCAGACCCCACTTCATGTGCCAGGGCTGATTTGAGAAGGAATCGGACATGCACTTCCCCCAGCTCTGCTGCTGCCCATGTCGCGGGTCAGACTGCGCTCGTGACCCAAGTGGCCACCCCGAGCCCATACCTGTGCTATGACACGGCAGACCCTGACGCCAGGCACGCGCCGTGTACAGGCACAACTCTGCTGACTTCATTGATGCCCTGGCCAGTTTCTAGCAGCTGAGGAAC